CCATGCCAATGCGGGACACCACCACCTGGAAAATGGCCTTCTGGGCTGCGGCTGTCGATTCACCCAGGCGGTTCCCATTCTCGTCTGTGACAGGGATCCCCAGCTTGAGCTCTCTGCAGGGAGAGATGGGGTGAGGGGTCCCCTTGGCACAGGGGTGGGGGGATCAGGAGACAGGGCAGGTACATGTCTCCAAGGGAGGTTGGCATACTCCTGTAACCCCATCTGCTGCCTGCATAGTAAGTCAGGGCAGGTATCAGCTGGACCCACGTTCACACTTCCTGGACCCACAGCACACTTCCTGGGGTCCTTAACAGGGTCATATGAGGACTGATAACCCCCTGGGATGCAATCAGGTGCTTGTACCCTCAAGCCAACACCCCAGCTAAGGAATGACGGCATGACCAGCAAGGAAGTCCCTGTGTTGCCCACTAGTGTCTGGTGAACCCTGACGCACGCCTGAGCACCCCGTCCCAGCCCAGGGGCTCACCTCTGCCTCATCAGCGGGATGTTGATGCAGTTGGCAGCTGCCACAGCTGCGAAAGGCACGTACCGGCCGATGATGGCTGGCAAGTGCTGAGGGAAAAAAGCAGGAGCACATCACGCAGAGGGTCTGGGGGCAGAGTTGGCTGTCCCTGGGTCTGCCACTGTCCTCCTATGAGACCCTGGGATGTCCTAGCCCCGCTTGGGAAAAATGTTCCTTCCTCCCCTGCAACTCTCAGCCAGTTAAAGCTGCAGAGACCAAGGGGTCTGGGGTTCCCACGTGCCCTCCCAGGCCTGGAGGGAGGCTGAGGGGTGAAACGTGTGGAGAGATGCAGCTGGAGCAAGGCTGGAGGAACAGGCATCTCCACAGCCATTGCTGTAGAGAGTGGTTGCCTTGTGTGAGTAACCTCAGCAAAATCCCTTTCCTCCATTTTCTCCCCTGATTCAAATGCTGGAGTAAATCCCCTGCTCAGCTCAGACAGAGGTCAGGGAGACTCCATAGGTCCAGGAGCCCCACCCATGATGGCCAAGGGTCACCTTACCTTGGTGAGAGATTTGAGCCCCAGCGCTGTGACAACTGCCCCCGTGGTGGCACTCACATAGGCTGTCCCCAGCTGGCTGCAAGAGCAGGAAGTGGTATCTGAGTGGAGTGAGCCAGAGTCCTCCCTCCAAAGGAATGCGTCCTTCAAGAGCATCAGGACACCTGGGTTCCTCTCCCACCTCTACCACTAATCCTGATAGCTCAAATGGTGTCCATCTCTGGCTGTGCCTGGTCCCCATTGTCCCATCTCACAGCTCCCTGCTATTCAAGAACCTGTTCAAAGCACCCCCTGGCATTTTAGGGCGCCAGAGGACCTGGTCAGAGGGATGCTTACCTGGGGGTGATGGGTGCATCCCCACTGCGGTTGGTGTAGTTGACAATGGCATTGAAGGACTGGTTGACCCACTGCCAGAACACCACAGCTGGTGTGGTCCTGCCAGAGAGAGGAGGGTGCTGGGGGACACTGGGGGATGCCACCCATGCTCCTATGGCACAAGTGCACTGTGGGGTATGGGACACGTGTCCCACTCACCCCAAGACCAGGAGGATGCCTGGGGAGGAGTTCCCCCATCCTGGGCATCCTCCTGACCCTGGGGTGAGGAGGGGACAGGTACCTGTAGAAGGTCAACATGCAACCAGTGATGGTCATGTTCATGGGGACCTGAGCAGACATGCGTCCCATAAGAAGCATCTTCTCGCCCGTGTCAGGGTGGAAAGCTGAGTCATAGATGTACTTTGCTCGCCAAAGCTGGTCCTCCGTCAGCCCCGGGGGTATCCTGCCCGCCCTGCCAGGTAAGGGTAGCACCTGTTGAAAGAGCCTCTGCCAGCACATGCCCTACCTGGTCCCCCACACCATCCAGAGATAGGTTAGGGACCAGCCAGGCAATCTGGGGGGCTGGCTTTGGCCAAGCACTGCTTCTGTTCCTTGGGTATGGGCCCAAGGCTGTAACCTGCCCAGGAGCAGTGCTGAGGGTACACCCGCCCTCCCCCTGGGTACCTGTAGTCCTCCACCACCCGTCGGGCCTCCTCCAGCGTGGCCCCTGACAGCAGCAGGTTCCGGGGGTCGGTCACCATGAAAAAGTGCTTAGCTCGGCCCTGAAAGGTGCTCTGGTCCCAGCGGGGCTCCTGGATGTTGATGGTGGTAGGCAGGGATGGTGGCATCTTCTGGCAGGGCAGAGGGAGAAGGGTTATGTGGAACGCAGTGCCTGTGTGTCCCTGCTAGGGCAGCTCTGGAGCTCCCCCAGCCTAGGGAGAAAGGGGTGAACAGGGAGTCCCTTTATAACGAAGCTCAGCAGA